CATGGTTTGGGCTTAGTTCCAGTGAAGGGAGATCTTAACGCTACAGTGTACAATGACATTCTAGACTATTCTGTGCTTCCAACTTGGGGAAGGCCCTTTCCTGTTTCAGCATGACTCATTCCATTTCAAATGAGGCTCCCAGTGCTGCTTGATGAAGCATCTGGCACACTGAGGTATAATAAGAACTGATCTGGCAGTTCCTTCTCTGCATGTTCCTGGGTTCAGCCAATCACACAGCGCGTTCTAAACCACAGCTCATGAATATTCATGTATCTCGCCCCAAAATCTCCTAGGAATAACCAGTTCACGGGGATAGCACTTTGCTATCCAGAATCCTTGGGACATCCTTATCCCATTGAAGTTAAAACTTAAAATGGTTAAGGTGAGGGTTAGGTGAGGGTTAGGTGAGGGTTAGGTGAGGGTTAGGTGAGGGTTAGGTAAGGGTTAGGTAATGGTTAGGTAAGGGTTAGGTGAGGGTTAGGTAAGGGTTAGGTGAGGGTTAGGTGAGGGTTAGGTAATGGTTAGGTGAGGGTTAGGTGAGGGTTAGGTAAGGGTTAGGTGAGGGTTAGGTAAGGGTTATGGTTAGGGTTAGGTGAGGGTTAGGTGAGGGTTATGGTTAGGGTTAGGTGAGGGTTAGGTAAGGGTTATGGTTAGGGTTAGGTGAGGGTTAGGTAAGGGTTATGGTTAGGGTTAGGTGAGGGTTAGGTAAGGGTTATGGTTAGGGTTAGGTGAGGGTTAGGTAAGGGTTATGGTTAGGGTTAGGTGAGGGTTAGGTAAGGGTTATGGTTAGGGTTAGGTGAGGGTTAGGTAAGGGTTAGGTGAGGGTTAGGTGAGGGTTAGGTGAGGGTTAGGTGAGGGTTAGGTGAGGGTTATGGTTAGGGTTAGGTAAGGGTTATGGTTAGGGTCGGGGGTTAAAGGGATACTTCGGGATGTTGGTAATGAAGCCCTTTATCTATTTCCCCAGAGTCAGATGAACTCGTGGACACCATGTTTATGGTCCATCCAGTATGAAGGAAGTTAATGCTTTCGCAAGTCAATGCTAACTAGCGCAATGACTGGAAGTACAGTGCCTTGCAAAAGTATTCATCCCCCTTGGCGTTTTTCCTATTTTGTTGCATTACAACCTGTAATTTAAATGGATTTTTATTTGGATTTCATGTAATGGACAGTCCAAATTGGTGAAGTGAAATGAAAAAAATAACTTGTTTCAAAAAATTCTAAAAAATAAATAACGGAAAAGTGGTGCGTGCATATGTATTCACCCCCTTTGCTATGAAGCCCCTAAATAAGATCTGGTGAACCAATTACCTTCAGAAGTCATATAATTAATTAAATGAAGTCCACCTGTGTGCAATCTAAGTGTCACATGATCTGTCACATGATCTCAGTATATATACACCTGTTCTGAAAGGCCCCAGAGTCTGCAACACCACTAAGCAAGGGGCACCACCAAGCAAGCGGCACCATGAAGACCAAGGAGCTCTCCAAAACAGGTCAGGGACAAAGTTGTGGAGAAGTACAGATCAGGGTTGGGTTATAGAAAAATATCCAAAACTTTGAAGATCCCACGGAGCACCATTAAATCCATTATTAAAAAATGGAAAGAATATGGCACCACAACAAACCTGCCAAGAGAGGGCCGCCCACCAAAACTCACGGACCAGGCAAGGAGAGCATTAATCAGAGAGGCAACAAAGAGACCAAAGATAACCCTGAAGGAGCTGCAAAGCTCCACAGAGGAGATTGGAGTATTTGTCCATAGGACCACTTTAAGCCGTACACTCCACAGAGCTGGGCTTTATGGAATAGTGGCCAGAAAAAAGCCATTGCTTAAAGAAAAAAATAAGCAAACATGTTTGGCATGTGGGAGACTCCCCAAACATATGGAAGAAGGTACTCTGGTCAGATGAGACCTCAATCCAATTAAGAATCTGTAGTATGACTTAAAGATTGCTGTACACCAGCGGAACCCATCTAACTTGAAGGAGCAGGAGCAGTTTTGCCTTGAAGAATAGGCAAAAATCCCAGTGGCTAGATGTGCCAAGCTTATAGAGACATACCCCAAGAGACTTGCAGCTGTAATTGCTGCAAAAGGTGGCTCTACAAAGTATTGACTTTGTTATGCACGCTCAAGTATTCAGTTTTTTTGTCTTATTTCTTGTTTGTTTCACAATAAAAAATATTTTGCATCTTCAAAGTGGTAGGCATGTTGTGTAAATCAAATGATACAAACCCCCCCAAAAAATCAATTTTAATTCCAGGTTGTAAGGCAAAAAAATAGGAAAAATGCCAAGGGGGGTGAATACTTTCACAAGCCACTGTATATGGTATCAGTTAATAGCGGAATGACTGGAAGTCTATGGTATCTACTAGCATGCTAGCTGATACCATAGACTTCCAGTCATTGCGCTAACTCTAGTTAGCAACTTCCTTCAAAGTACACACGCAGAGACATAAAAACTGTATCCATGAGTTCATCTGACTCTGGGGAAGTAGACAAATGGCTTCATTCCCAAGATCCCGATTCCCGAAGTATCCATTTTATTAAGGTTCAGGTTTAGGGTGTGGACTTCCCGACAGGAGAGTACCCGGCAACACAGAGCGTAACGAGTGACGGTGGATGGTGGTTGGAAGAGCGTCATGGTAGCTATTGATAAAAATTATAACATCAAGACGCGCTCTCTGGGACGCACTGTGGAAATCGAAGTATAACTATGTCCACCAGATGGCGGTATCCGACATATTATCTTAGTTTCGACCACTGAAATTCCACTGAGTTTTCCGGAATGCTCGTGCCCTCATTCGCGCTCTTCTTGGTAGATTCCAAGGCATCGACGAAACGGAAGGAAGAGACGGTCAGGGGCTGCTTTACAAGGGAGATGGGAAGAGACGGTCACTGGCTGCTTTACAAGTGGGATGGGAAGAGACGGTCAGGGGCTGCTTTACAAGGGAGATGGGAAGAGACGGTCAGGGGCTGCTTTACAAGGGAGATGGGAAGAGACGGTCAGGGGCTGCTTTACAAGGGGGATGGGAAGAGACGGTCAGGGGCTGCTTTACAAGGGGGATGGGAAGAGACGGTCAGGGGCTGCTTTACAAGGGGGATGGGAAGAGACGGTCAGGGGCTGCTTTACAAGGGGGATGGGAAGAGACGGTCAGGGGCTGCTTTACAAGGGGGATGGGAAGAGACGGTCAGGGGCTGCTTTACAAGGGGGATGGGAAGAGACGGTCAGGGGCTGCTTTACAAGGGGGATGGGAAGAGACGGTCAGGGGCTGCTTTACAAGGGGGATGGGAAGAGACGGTCAGGGGCTGCTTTACAAGGGGGATGGGAAGAGACGGTCAGGGGCTGCTTTACAAGGGGGATGGGAAGAGACGGTCAGGGGCTGCTTTACAAGTGGGATGCACTGTTGAGCGTTACATCCCGAGAGGTTCGTGCTGATTGTACGGAGATTGTGACAGCCGGTTAAATGGCGTCCCTTGACAAGGCAAGAACTAGATGTATGTCAGGAGAAGTGCAGTGTTATCATAAGGAGACGTATACTTTGAATACGGAGGAGGAATGGAGGGGAAAAAGAGAGGCAGAGGAGGTCTAAGAGAGAGAGGGAGGAAGAGGGTGAGATTGAGACAGTTAAAAATGGCGGGAAAAAGGGAGATGGTTTGTTAAAGAAGAATGGTAGAAAGTGTAAGTAGGGTGAGTTGAAGACAGGAGGAGAAATGGAAGAGAATGAGGGTGAAGTTCTCGGAGCCCGAGGCTTGCACCGAGGGTCAGGATAAAGATGAGTCTGTGACAGTAGGAGTGAAGTTTGTGGAAAAAGTGGAACCTTGTCTTTTGGCTGATCCACTTGTGGTTTCAGGGTGGGTGAAAACAGAGTTGGGTGATGTGGAATCAGTGAGGGTAATCAGAAGTGGTGTGCTCCTCAGAGGCAGCAGGCACTCCACGTTAAACAAATGAGGGCAAGAGATTAAAAATTGTTTTGCACTCAAGAAAAGAGCGCCATTGAAAGGAGTGATTACTGGGGTAGCAGTAAATGTGAAAGCTGACCAACTGAAGGGGAAGATTCCCGGTGTTTGTGATGCTCGTCGTTTGGTGCGATGCAGACAGGGTGGCGAGAGTGGTGAAACAGAAGGGTCATTGTCTGTTGTTTTGAGTTTTGATGTTGAGTCTTTGCCCGACAAAGTGATGTTAGGATATATAAGTTATCCTGTACGAGCTTTTGTGCTGAATACATTACGTTGTTATAGGTGTCAAGCTTATGGGCATGTGGCAGCAGTGTGTAGGAGGGAGGTGTGAGAAGTGTGCAGAAGGGCATGAGACAAAGGAATGTGTAACATTGGGGAAAGTAGTGGTATGTGTTAATTGTAGGGGTGGCCATGGGGCTGGGGATCAGAAATGTCCCGTGTGAGAGAGAGGCAGGTTGAGGTTTCCAGGGTTAGAGTAGTGCAGATGTTGTCGTATGCTGAGGCAGGGAAGAAAGTAGAGGAAGATGGGTCAAGGGGGAGGGATCCTGAGAGGAGTGGTGAGAGTAGTAGATCTATACCAGTACAGAGGGATAGGCCAACAAGTGATATATGTTTCAGTAAGATTGTCTATTTAGCGTTCATAGCAATGGTAATCAACTGCAGGGATGGAATGTAAGTCGCAGAAAATAGAGGTTGTGGTGGCAGCTGCAGAGAGGTATTTGGGTGTGCGAGACTTGACCTCAGAAGAGTTACAGGGTGTGTTAAGTGGTGGTGTCCCATCCTTTCAGGGTGTTGGAATGAGGTAGGACTAAATAGATTTAAATAGTGTAGGGTGGTGTTATATATATATATATACATATATATATATTGTGAGTGTAGTGTTAGATGGTAGGGTTGTTTATTTATATTTTCAAGCAAAGTATAAGGGAGTTATACTCCAGTCCAGTAGGTGGCGGTAATTCAACAATAATTGGATGCCAACCGACGTTAAACCTCGTCGAAGAAGAAGTATGGCATTCCCAAACATCCCAGATAGCGCTGACCAGAGGGGAGGTATGGCAGCCTGAGGGTGTCTTGAACGCAGAAAGGAACAATAAGGAAGAGAATTGCCGGGGTTTCAACGCAGAATTTCAACACATTCAACATTTTCTGTGAAATTTCAATCATAGAAGCAAGCAAGTACCGCCTGTTGATAATAGGTAAGAAGCGATAGCAAAATGTGCTTGTCAGAAAACTCGACATTCTCTAAACAAAGCAGATCGGACGTTAGTCAAGCGAAGCTAAAATAGCGGTGAATCGGAAGGGGAAAAGTGATTTAGCTAGCTAGCTAACAGTAACGTTAGCTCCTGACCACGCGTTTGTTATGGAAAGGCAATTCTGGAATTCAATGCCGATTTTGGTATTTTGTGTCCCATATCTAGCTTTGTGGCTAATATAGCTATTGTATGTTGTACCATGCATTATTATGCTAGTTACTAGCTAATTCGCTAACTGGCTAGCTAACGCCTAATATTAGCTGGCTAGTTAGAGACAGGAGGGACTGTGAATTTCCGACTAGACCGTTTTTGGCGTATTGCTGCCCTTCTCAGATCGGAATGGGGAAAGAAAATTGCACCACCATCTAATCCTGTACTTATACACTATTCCCCCCAAAAACATCACCCCATCCCACTACTTGGACCTAAACAATCCTACACCAGGCCGTGGGCCTGGGAGGGGTCGGCCAGGGTGGATGGCACCCCTTCTCTCAACCTACTGTAGATCTTCTGGACTAAAATATCTCACACCCCAATATTTCTCTGCTGTTGCAACTAACTCATATATCTTCTGTGATTTTCTGCTCCTGCAGTGCAGTGCAGTGCAGTTGATCACCATGGCTATAAACGCAACAAATCCAACCTTACTAAACTCATCCTCTCTGGCTGGCTCTCATCAGGCCTACTCACTTTTTAAACTCACTCACCCTTGGCCCAGCATCTACTCTCTTCACTGCCTCAGCATAGGACATTTTATGCCCCAGCTGCATGGGCACCTCACAGTGCTTTCTCTAGCCCAACTATCCTTCTGATTATGCCCTCCTGCACATTTCACACATCGTGGGATCTCATTTCTACACAATGCTGCAACATGTCTGAATCCTTGGCACCTAAAGCACCGAAAACATGTTACTATCAATGTTCCCGAACAGATTTCACTTGGTTTTTCCAACTAAAGCACTGGGTAGCTGAAGGAACAGGGTTGGAGAGCCCATGGCATACAGAGTACTGGGTAGCTGCAGGAACAGGGTTGGAGAGCCCATGGCATACAGAGTACTGGGTAGCTGGAGGGAACAGGGTTGGAGAGCCCATGGCATACAGAGTACTGGGTAGCTGGAGGAACAGGGTTGGAGAGCCCATGGCATACAGAGTACTGGGTAGCTGGAGGGACAGGGTTGGAGAGCCCATGGCATACAGAGTACTGGGTAGCTGGAGGAACAGGGTTGGAGAGCCCATGGCATACAGAGTACTGGGTAGCTGGAGGAACAGGGTTGGAGAGCCCATGGCATACAGAGTACTGGGTAGCTGGAGGGACAGGGTTGGAGAGCCCATGGCATACAGAGTACTGGGTAGCTGGAGGGACAGGGTTGGAGAGCCCATGGCATACAGAGTACTGGGTAGCTGGAGGAACAGGGTTGGAGAGCCCATGGCATACAGAGTACTGGGTAGCTGGAGGAACAGGGTTGGAGAGCCCATGGCATACAGAGTACTGGGTAGCTGGAGGGAACAGGGTTGGAGAGCCCATGGCATACAGAGTACTGGGTAGCTGGAGGGACAGGGTTGGAGAGCCCATGGCATACAGAGTACTGGGTAGCTGGAGGAACAGGGTTGGAGAGCCCATGGCATACAGAGTACTGGGTAGCTGGGAGGAACAGGGTTGGAGAGCCCATGGCATACAGAGTACTGGGTAGCTGGAGGAACAGGGTTGGAGAGCCCCATGGCATACAGAGTACTGGGTTAGCTGGAGGAACAGGTTGGAAGAGCCCATGGCATACAGAGTACTGGGTAGCTGGGAGGAACAGGGTTTGGAGAGCCCATGGCATACAGAGTACTGGGTAGCTGCAGGAACAGGGTTGGAGAGCCCATGGCATACAGAGTACTGGGTAGCTGCAGGAACAGGGTTGGAGAGCCCATGGCATACAGAGTACTGGGTAGCTGCAGGAACAGGGTTGGAGAGCCCATGGCATACAGAGTACTGGGTAGCTGCAGGGAACAGGGTTGGAGAGCCCATGGCATACAGAGTACTGGGTTACCGAAGGGTTGAGAGCCATGGCATACAGAGTACTGGGGGGAACAGGGTTGGAGAGCCCATGGCATACAGAGTACTGGGTAGCTGGGGGAACAGGGTTGGAGAGCCCATGGCATACAGAGTACTGGGTAAGCTGGAGGAACAGGGTTGGAGAGCCCATGGCATACAGAGTACTGGGTAGCTGAGGAACAGGGTTGGAGAGCCCATGGCATACAGAGTACTGGGTAGCTGGAGGAACAGGGTTGGAGAGCCCATGGCATACAGAGTACTGGGTAGTGGAGGGACAGGGTTGGAGAGCCCATGGCATACAGAGTACTGGGTAGCTGGAGGGACAGGGTTGGAGAGCCCATGGCATACAGAGTACTGGGTAGCTGGAGGAACAGGGTTGGAGAGCCCATGGCATACAGAGTACTGGGTAGCTGGAGGAACAGGGTTGGAGAGCCCATGGCATACAGAGTACTGGGTAGCTGGAGGAACAGGGTTGGAGAGCCCATGGCATACAGAGTACTGGGTAGCTGGAGGGAACAGGGTTGGAGAGCCCATGGCATACAGAGTACTGGGTAGCTGGAGGAACAGGGTTGGAGAGCCCATGGCATACAGAGTACTGGGTAGCTGGAGGAACAGGGTGGAGAGCCCATGGCATACAGAGTACTGGGTAGCTGGAGGAACAGGGTTGGAGAGCCCATGGCATACAGAGTACTGGGTAGCTGGAGGAACAGTGGTTGGAGAGCCCATGGCATACAGAGTACTGGGTAGCTGGAGGAACAGGGTTGGGAGGCACCATTGCCATACAGAGCACTGGGTAGCTGGAGGAACAGGGTTGGAGAGCCCATGGCATACAGAGTTTGGGCGGAATATCACCTGTTGCTCAGCGAGAGGCTGCATGCTTCTCAAACAGTGGTTGATGCAGAGGAGTGAAATAGACCCGATGACGTGTTTCTACGCATGAGCTTAGCTAGCCAACGTCGCCATGACATCACCTACAAGTGTGATCGGGGATTTCTATTGGAGGAGCAGTTTTAGCCTGTCTTCATACTGTACTGTCTTTGCCATTAGTCTGTGTGATTGATGGGGGCGGAGCTAGAGCGGTGTTTGTGAGACAAGGGCGGATCTCTAAGGGGCGGGGGGCTGGGTCTTTTTTTATACAAAAACGTCTGTAGAGTCCGAATGGTTTGAGCTACAAACTATTAAAAGCCATCTATGAAAAGCAGAGACTCTCATGACGCTCACAGGCTACTCCAGAGTCGTTACAAGGCAAGGGGTTCTTCTACATAGAAGATCCCAGGAAACCCCAGGACATAGTGTCTATAATACTGAGTCGTTAGAAGGTAAGGGCTTCTTCTACATAGAAGATCCTAGTGTCTATAATACTGTAATAAGCTCACATAGTTACTGTCACAAACTCCCCACAGTTGTCACTGACTAGTTGGATATTCATTTCCCAGTGCACAAACAATTTCTGTACTTACAGCATTCATATAAATTCATTTTTTATCAGGTTTTTGCTTTGGCTGACCTTATTATTTTATTGACATTTGTCAAAACTCATAAATGCAACTCTTTTTATGTCAAATTGTTTTGTATTCTACTAAATAAAATGGCAAAACACTTAATTGTGAGGCTAAATATAAGTGCTGGACATACAGATAAATGAAAGTCAGATAAATGAAAAGCCGATTTTTGCTGGGGACTCGGGACTGACAGGATGTTTACTGTAAACGTCCCTAGGGTCGATTTGAAAGAGGTTTTCCACAAATGTGAACACTAAACAGTAGTCTGGAGTTACATTCCTGCAGCATGGCTGTCGTTGAGGTCATATCTTTGGATTTGAAATGCTTTATACCACCATTATATGATTCTGTTGTTTTCTGCCGTGTATTAACCGTGATTCTGGTTTACCAGGCAGGACAACTTGGATTATATGTGAGGGGCGAGTCTGTTCTGTCTACCATGGCCGACAGTGTGGAGGATATCGAGAACAACATGGTGAGTGAGTTCTGCTGTAATTTTGAACTATGAAGAAGGAAATAAAAGCTTGTCTGTGTTTTGTCACTTGCAGATTGTAACCTATAGTAAAGTCACATTCATGGTGGTGACATTTGCAATAAAAGTTAAATCATTGGTCATATGTTATAGAATATGTTTTACATACTCTTTCATGATATCATTAGTTTAGCTCCTGATGACTTTGAGGGTGTGGCCTGGCCAGGAGGCAAAGTCCTTCTCGGCTGTTTCTCTCCTGGCCCTTTTAACCACATGAAGCAGCTCGCTCCAACATGTCATCACAACAGTTGCTTTTACTGCATTGTTGTCCTCCGCTGATGAAAGGCGGTACATGCATACCTTCTCAGCTGATGAAAGGCGGTACATGCATACCTTCTCAGCTGATGAAAGGCGGTACATGCATACCTTCTCAGCTGATGAAAGGCGGTACATGCATACCTTCTCAGCTGATGAAAGGCGGTACGTGCATACCTTCTCAGCTGATGAAAGGCGGTACATGCATACCTTCTCAGCTGATGAAAGGCGGTACATGCATACGTTCTCAGCTGATGAAAGGCGGTACATGCATACCTTCTCAGCTGATGAAAGGCGGTACATGCATACCTTCTCAGCTGATGAAAGGCGGTACATGCATACCTTCTCAGCTGATGAAAGGCGGTACGTGCATACCTTCTCAGCTGATGAAAGGCGGTACATGCATACCTTCTCAGCTGATGAAAGGCGGTACATGCATACCTTCTCAGCTGATGAAAGGCGGTACATGCATACCTTCTCAGCTGATGAAAGGCGGTACGTGCATACCTTCTCAGCTGATGAAAGGCGGTACATGCATACCTTCTCAGCTGATGAAAGGCGGTACGTGCATACCTTCTCAGCTGATGAAAGGCGGTACATGCATACCTTCTCCGCTGATGAAAGGCGGTACATGCATACCTTCTCAGCTGATGAAAGGCGGTACGTGCATACCTTCTCAGCTGATGAAAGGCGGTACATGCATACCTTCTCAGCTGATGAAAGGTGGTACATGCATACCTTCTCAGCTGATGAAAGGCGGTACATGCATACCTTCTCAGCTGATGAAAGGCGGTACATGCATACCTTCTCCGCTGATGAAAGGCGGTACGTGCATACCTTCTCAGCTGATGAAAGGCGGTACGTGCATACCTTCTCAGCTGATGAAAGGCGGTACGTGCATACCTTCTCCGCTGATGGAAAGAGTCTCTCTCCCTCTCAACCTCAGTTCTTACACACTTTCAGTGAAGGATAGCGGCTGTGACCGGTTCGGTGGAGCCAATTCTTCCTTGTGGTATTGAAGTTATTCAACCAGGAAACCCCTTTAGAAATCACAGATCCTATTTTATTCAGAAAATCAGGAGTAAGTGAAGGCTCTCGTGTCTGAACTGTCCTGACAGCCTCGGGACTGCAACACTCTGTCCAGGCTTCCTTGACAGCCTCGGGACTGCAACGCTCTGTTCGGGCTTCCTTGACAGCCTCGGGACTGCAACGCTCTGTTCGGGCTTCCTTGACAGCCTCGGGACTGCAACGCTCTGTTCGGGCTTCCTTGACAGCCTCGGGACTGCAACACTTTGTCCAGGCTTCCTTGACAGCCTCGGGACTGCAACACTCTGTCCAGGCTTCCTTGACAGCCTCGGGACTGCAACACTCTGTCCGGGCTTCCTTGACAGCCTCGGGACTGCAACACTCTGTCCAGGCTTCCCTGACAGCCTCAGGACTGCAACACTCTGTCCAGGCTTCCTTGATAGCCTTGGGACTGCAACACTCTGTCCGGGCTTCAAAGTACTTTCGATGGAGAATCTTCACGGAGGACGCTTTGTATTCCAGAACTAATCTGCGCCTGGGAACCCGGGCCCATAGAGATACAATATAACTAACTCTCTAGAGTGTTCTATTTAATTCTGTGGCTCTGCGCACACTAAGGTGGCTGGACTGGTGAAGTGGTGACTACCTACCTCATAAATGGGAGGGTTTTTGTTGACTCAGTGAAATGAGATGTAGCCTGGTCCCAGATCTGTTATTACTGTCTTGCCAACTCCTGTGGCTATAGACCTACCATGTTCTTCTGTAACGCCCGATACGTAGCAAACTGTCCCCATAGGTGTGCGTGCAGATGAAACATTACAGAAATGTTGATCAGTGTGTTTTTATTTGTTCCCCTGTCGTTTTTTTTAAACCTTTTATTTTGTAATTTTAAAGCATTACACTCTGGCGGCGGGTAGCCTAGCGGTTCCGTTGGGCCAGTAACCGAAAGGTCGCTGGTTCAAATCCCCGAGCCTTCTAGGTGACCTGTCTGTGCCCTGTCTGTGCCCTTGAGCAAGGCACTTAACCCGAATTGCTCCTTTAAGTCGATCTGGACAAGAGCGTCTGCTAAAATGACTAGAATGTAAATATTTCCGTGTACTGAAAGGCTGGCCCTCTGTTCCTCTCCAGGCGACTGAGGCTCCAGTGCCAACCCAGAACCAGCACCCTGAGCTTGGGGTGACGGGGGTGCGGTCCAGGGGTGGAGGGGCGGAGCAGAACGGACAGCCCCCCTCCACAGCTCCCCCACGACGCCCGCCCCAGGTGGTAGAGAGTGAGGAAGACGAAGATGAGGAACTGACGCTGAAGTACGGGGCCAAACACGTCATCATGCTCTTCGTCCCCGTCACGCTCTGCATGGTGGTCGTCGTGGCAACCATCAAGTCCGTCAGCTTCTACACCCACAACGATGGACAGAGGCTGTGAGTACCGACGACGTTCTGGCGACCTAACCCTGAGACAAGGCTCCAGATTGGAACACAGAGAAGATAATGATGATGATGATGATAGGATGGTGTTTGAGTATTTCTGATGGTTGTCTGACACTGTAATGTAAAATATTTTCTGTAATGTAATGTTATCTAATGCGATGAGTCTAATCTTCTGTATGAGTTGTCCAGGATCTTGATGCCTGTCTGATATGTGATGTGTTGTCCAGGATCTTGATACCTGTCTGATATGTGATGTGTTGTCCAGGATCTACACCCCGTTCCCTGAGGATACAGACACAATAGGTCAGCGAGCCCTGAACTCAGTCCTCAACGCCACCATCATGATCAGCGTCATCATAGTGATGACTATGGTGCTGGTGCTGCTATACAAGTACCGCTTCTACAGGGTAAGAGATATGCTGCTATACAAGTACCGCTTCTACAGGGTAAGAGATATGCTGCTATACAAGTATCGCTTCTACAGGGTAAGATATGCTGCTATATAAGTATCGCTTCTACAGGGTAAGATATGCTGCTATATAAGTATCGCTTCTACAGGGTAAGAGATATGCTGCTCTGACAATGCCGGCAGGGTTGTATTCATTAGGCCACACAAAGTAAATCATTTTGCAACAGAAAAAAACGAAAGTATGATAACATTTTTACTTCCTGGTCTTGATGGACCAAGTCCAGGAAGTCGTCCGTTTCTCAGTCCGTTTTCTTCCGCTTGGTGCCTCAGGAACACACTGTTGTCACTCATCACAGTATGTTTCAGTGCTCTGTGTGTGTGTAGATACAGTGACATACTAAACATGTATACAGCCAGTTTGCTGTTCAATCAATCCCAATGGGGCTCCAAGAGTGGCGCAGCGGTCTAAGGCACTGCATCTCAGTGCTCGAAGCGTCACTACAGACCCCCCGGTTCGATTCCAGGCTGTATCACAACCGGCCGTGATTGGGAGTCCCATAGGGGCGGCGCACAATTGGCCCAGCGTCGTCCGGGTTTGGCCGGTGTAGGCCGTCATTGTAAATAAGAATTTGTTCTTAACTGACTTGCCTAGTTAAATAAAGGTAAATGAAAAATCGATCAAATGTATTTATAAAGCCCTTTTTACATCAGCAGATGTCACAAAGTGCTTATACAGAAACTCTGCCTAAAACCCCAAACAGCAGCAATGCAGATGTAGAAGCACGGTGGCTAGGAAAAACTCCCTAGAAAGGCAGGAACCTAGGAAGAAACCTAGAGAGGAACCAGGCTCTGAGGGGTGGCCAGTCCCCTTCTGGCTGTGCCGGGTGGAGATTATAACAGTACATGGCCATTAAGGACAGATTGTTCTCCAAGATGTTCAAACGTTCATAGATGTCCAGCAGGGTCAAATAATAATCAGTGGTTGTAGAGGTTGCAACAGGTCAGTACATCATGAGTAAATGTCACTTGGCTTTTCATAGCCGGGCATTTAGAGGTTGAAATAGCAGGTGCGGTAGAGAGAGAGAGTTGAAAACAGCAGGTCTGGGACAAGGTAGCACGTCCGGTGAACAGGTCAGGGTTCCATAGCCGCAGGCAGAACAGTGGAAACTGGAGCAGCAGCACGACCAGGTGGACTGGGGACAGCCAGGAGTCATCCGGCCAGGTAGTCCTGAGGCATGGTCCTAGGGCTCAGGTCCTCCGGGAGGGGAGGGAAAGAGGACCAGGTGGACTGGGGACAGCCAGGAGTCATCAGGCCAGGTAGTCCTGAGGCATGGTCCTAGGGCTCAGGTCCTCTGGGAGGGGAGGGAAAGAGGACCAGGTGGACTGGGGACAGCCAGGAGTCATCAGGCCAGGTAGTCCTGAGGCATGGTCCTAGGGCTCAGGTCCTCCGGGAGGGGAGGGAGGGAGAGAGAGAATTAGAGTGAGCATACTTAAATTCACACAGGACCGGATAAGACAGGAGAATAACACCAGATATAACAGACTGACCCTAGCCCCCCGGCACATAGACTATTGCAGCATAGATACTGGAGGCTGAGACGGGGGGGTCGGGGGACACTGTGGCACCGTCCGACGAAACCCCCAGACAGGGCCAACCAGGCAGGATATAACCCCACCCACTTTGTCAAAGCACAGCCCCCACACCACCAGAGGGATATCAACAGACCACCAACCTACTACCCTGAGACAAGGCTGAGTATAGCCCACCAACCTACTACCCTGAGACAAGGCTGAGTATAGCCCACAAAGATCTCCTCCACCGCACGAGCCCAAGGGGGCGACAAACCTGACAGGAAGATCACGTCAGTGACTCAACCCACTCAAGTGATGCACCCATCCTAGGGACGGCATGGAAGAGCACTAGTAAGCCAGTGACTCAGCCCCCGTAACAGGGTCAGAGGCAGAGAATCCCAGTGGAGAGAGGGGAGCCGGCCAGGCAGAGACAGCAAGGGCGGTTCGTCGCTCCAGTGCCTTTCCGTTCACCTTGGCACCCCTGGGCCAGACTACACTCAATCATAGGACCTACTGAAGAGATGAGTCTTCAGTAAAGACTTAAAGGTCGAGACCGAGTCTGCGTCTTTCACATTGATAAAAAAACAAACATCCCATAAAAAATTAGCTCTATAGGAGAAAGCCCTGCCTCCAGCTGTTTGCTTAGAAAGTCTAGGGACAATAAGGAGGCCTGCGTCTTGTGACCGTAGCGTACGTGTAGGTATGTACGGCAGGACCAAATCGGAGAGATAGGTAGGAGCAAGCCCATGTAATGCTTTGTAGGTTAGCAGTAACACCTTGAAATCAGCCCTAGCCTTATTGATCTGTGTGTGTCTCTACAGGTGATCCAAGGCTGGCTGTTCCTCTCTTCTCTCCTCCTCCTGTTATTGATCTCTGTGTGTCCCTGCAGGTGATCCAAGGCTGGCTGTTCCTCTCCTCCTCCTGTTATTGATCTCGTGTGTGTCTCTACAGGTGATCCAAGGCTGGCTGTTCCTCTCTTCTCTCCTCCTCCTGTTCTTCTTCTCCTTCATCTACCTCAAGTGAGTCCATTCATTCTTCCAAGTCTTAGTCTCTCTTCAATCCCATAAGTCAAGTCATCAGTGGATCTGCTGTGTAAAGTGTGTGACTGGGCAGATCCTTCTGTACTCTTTAAGTGTAACATTGCTCACTCTGCCCTCCAGAGAAGTCTTCAAGACGTACAATGTGGCGATGGACTGGATCACCCTGGCTGTGATCGTCTGGAACTTCGGGGTGGTAGGGATGATCTGTATCCACTGGAAGGGTCCCCTCCGTCTGCAGCAGGCCTACCTCATCATGATCTCTGCTCTCATGGCTCTGGTCTTCATCAAGTACCTGCCTGAGTGGACCGCCTGGCTCATCCTGGCTGTTATATCTGTCTATGGTGAGTACCTGCCTGAGTGGACCACCTGGCTGATCCTGTCTGTTATTATATCTGTCTATGGTGAGTACCTGCCTGAGTGGACCTCCTGGCTGATCCTGTCTGTTATTATATCTGTCTATGGTGAGTACCTGTCTGAGTGGACCTCCTGGCTGATCCTGTCTGTTATTATATCTGTCTATGGTGAGTACCTGCCTGAGTGGACCGCCTGGCTGATCCTGGCTGTTATATCTGTCTATGGTGAGTACCTGCCTGAGTGGACCGCCTGGCTGATCCTGGCTGTTATATCTGTCTATGGTGAGTACCTGCCTGAGTGGACCGCCTGGCTGTTATATCTGTCTATGGTGAGTACCTGCCTGAGTGGACCGCCTGGCTGATCCTGGCTGTTATATCTGTCTATGGTGAGTACCTGCCTGAGTGGACCTCCTGGCTGATCCTGTCTGTTATATCTGTCTATGGTGAGTACCTGCCTGAGTGGACCTCCTGGCTGATCCTGTCTGTTATTATATCTGTCTATGGTGAGTACCTGTCTGAGTGGACCTCCTGGCTGATCCTGTCTGTTATTATATCTGTCTATGGTGAGTACCTGTCTGAGTGGACCTCCTGGCTGATCCTGTCTGTTATTATATCTGTCTATGGTGAGTCTTTGGGTTATATACAGGTCTATCACTGAGACTGTAGCTACGCATGCGGTGGCTGCGTGCCAAATGCCACCCTATTCCCTATATAGCGCACTACTTTTGTCCAGAGCCCATAGATACAGGGCCCATAGTGCTCTGGTCAAAAGTAGTGCACTATATAGGGAATAGGGTGGCATTCTCTGGTCTAAAGTAGTGCACTATATAGGGAATAGGGTGCCATTCTCTGGTCTAAAGTAGTGCACTATATAGGGAATAGGGTGCCATTCTCTGGTCTAAAGTAGTGCACTATATAGGGAATAGGGTGCCATTCTCTGGTCTAAAGTAGTGCACTATATAGGGAATAGGGTGCCATTCTCTGGTCTAAAGTAGTGCACTATATAGGGAATAGGGTGCCATTCTCTGGTCTAAAGTAGTGCACTATATAGGGAATAGGGTGGCATTTGGGACGCAGCCACTGTCTGAGAATAACGGCCAGGACGGGAGTAGTCATTTGTAGATTTATTTAACCTAAAAGTGGTTAGCTTGTGGTAGCAGTGTGGTTGGTTTAGGTTTGGTTTATTGGAGGTAACAGTGCCGGTGGTCAGTTTGCTGTAGCAGTCCAATGCTGACCACAGATATTATGTGAGCGAAGTGCAGAAAGAAGCCAGGAATAGCTGGTGTTGAGGTTTCACCCACCCAGTCTCAGCAAATCTTTAAATCAGATGAAATATTTTTACTTGGTCTGTCTCTCAAAGAGCCCTGTGTTTTGGGTTCCAACACTATTTGTCTTGAACAATATTTGTCCTGATTCCATCTCTGTTTTCTCCCTATAGTTGGTGTTGGTAAAGAGTTTACACCCAGTCAGTCAGTCTCAGACAATCTTTAACTCAGATGAAGTATTTCTACTTGGTCTCTCTCTCAAAGCGCCCTCTGTTCTGGCTCCAACACTATTCTATATGAGTCATATTCATTAGGCACCAAATGGAAGAAAGCCTCTTCCTGTTTCCGTGTGTTATCTGAACTGTACAATAACAAACGGCTGTTTTTCATTTTCCGTTGCAAAACATTTTTCCACGATGTGCCCTAATGAATTCGGACTCCGTTTCTCCCTCCATAGATCTGCTAGCAGTGCTCTGTCCCAAAGGTCCGCTACGTATCCTAGTGGAGACTGCTCAGGAGAGGAACGAACCCATCTTCCCTGCTCTCATCTACTCCTGTAAGGCACACATTACGCCTCCCACCTCAACGCTTGTACACACCTGTATTACATGTATACAAAACATTAGGAACACCTGCTCTTTCCATGACATAGACTGACCAGGTGAAAGCTATGATTGTGTCAAGTTGGCTGGATGTCATTTGGGTGGTGGACCGTTCTTGATACACACTTGAAACTGTTGAGTGTGAAAAAACCCAGCAGCGTTGCAGTTCTTGACACAAACCAGTGTGCCTGGCAACTTCTACCGTACCTCGTTCAAAGGCACTTAAATATTTTGTCTTGCCCGTTCACCCTCTGAATGGCACACATACACAATCCATGTCTCCATTGTCTCGAGGCTTGAAAATCCTTGTTCAACCCGTCTCCTCCACTTCATCTACACTGATTTGAAGTGGTTTTAACCTAGAGGTGTTTGTTCGTGCCCCCGCAGAAATGTTATTAGCATCGTAAAGAAATCCCCATCAAAATCCATCAGTTTAAGCGATATCTGTTTTTTTTTTTTGCATGGGCTGCATCTCAATCCGCCACATCCGCGGTGACGGAGCTAGAGTGGTTTAGCCTACAAACTATTATGGAAAGATCAGACTCTCGAACACGATGGTGCAGATGTTTTCGTTTCAGTCGCCTCCATCTCCTCTAACTGAAGTTAATTGTATGGATTATTTTTCTATTGATAATGTAAAATTAACAGCCATACAGAAAGACTCATGTGAAGGTGAAATTACAGAGGAGGAACTTCTGGACGCAATTAAAGACTTTAAGTCCGGGAAAACTCCAGGGTTGGATGGCATACCAGTCGAGGTACACCAAACCTTTTTTGATATATTATTAGGACCGTTATTAGCATGTTTTTAACCACTCCTATGTAAATGGTAGATTATCAGACACCAGGCCTGCTATTCATAGCTGACTTTGAAAAGGCTTTTGATAAAGTACGACTGGAGTTCATATGTAAATGCCTGGAGCATTTCAATTTTGGAGAATCTCTTATAAAATGGGTTAAAATCATGTATAGTAACCCTAGGTGTAAAATAGTAAATAATGGCTATTTCTCAAAGTTTTAAACTGTCAAGAGGAGTGAAACAAGGTTGTCCACTATCGGGATATCTATTTATTATGGCCATCGAAATGTTAGCTATTAAAATCAGATCCAACAATAATATCAAGGGATTAGAAATCCAGGGCTTAAAAATAAAGGTGTCATTGTACGCTGATGATTCATGTTTTCTTTTAAATCCACAATTTGAATCCCTCCACAGCCTCATAGAGGATCTAGATACATTTTCTAACCTCTCTGGATTACAACCAAATTATGACAAATGTACTATATTACGTATTGGATCACTAAAAAATAAAAATTTTACATTACCATGTAGTTTACCAATAAAATGGTCTGATGGTGATGTGGACATACTCGGAATACATATCCCAAAGGAAATAAATTATCTCACTTCAATACATTTTAATAGAAAGTTAGCAAAAATAGATAAGATCTTGCTACCATGGAAAGGTAAATTACCTGTCAATTTGTGGAAAAATCACCCTTAAGAAACTCTTTAGTATTATCCCAGTTTACCTATTTGCTTATGGTCTTGCCTACGCCTAGCGAACAGTTTTTAAAAAAATTATATGAGAGAAAAATATTCCATTTTATTTGGAACGGCAAGCCAGACAAAATTAAACGGGCCTATATATATAATGAATATGAATTCGGAGGGCAGAAATGATTAAATATTAAAGCATTAGACCTATCACTAAAAGCTTCAGTCATACAAAAGTTATACTTAAATCCGAACTGGTTCTCTAGCAAATTAGTAAGATTGTCTCACCCCATGTTCAATAATGGCCTTTTTCCCTTTATTCAGATTACAACCTCTCACTTTCAGTTATTTAAAAAGGAAATCATCTCCCAAATATCACTATTTCTAAAACAAGCCATAGAAAGTTGGTTGCAATTTCAATTTAATCCTCCAGAAACGACAGAACAAATAATGCAACAAATATTGTGGTTAAACTCAAATATACGAATTGATAAAAAAACAATTTTTTTTTTTTTTAACAATGTATAATCTTCGTAAATGATATCATAGGAAGGACTGGTGGAGTTATGTCGCACATGCAGCTAACAAAAACATATGGAAATGTCTGCTCTACCCAAAATTACGACCAAATAATTGCAGCCTTACCGCAAAAATGGAAGAGGCAAGTGGAAGGGGGAGAAAGTAAGGAACTTGTCTGTCGGCCGCATTAAAGAACATAATTGGTTAAAGAAAACTGTGATAAATAAGAAAGTATACCAGTTTAATTTAAGGACCAAAGGATTGACAGCCGTCCCATATAGATTGCAAAATAGTTGGGAAGAGATTTTTGACGTACCGATTCCATGGCAAATGGTTTATGAGCTGATACGCAAAATGACGCCAGATTCAAAACAAAAAAATACTTTTCCAATTTAAATTATTATACAAAATTCTTCTAACCAATAGAATGTTATTTACAGTTGAAGTCGGAAGTCTACATACACCTTAGCCAAATACATTTAAACTCAGTTTTTCACAATTCCTGACATTTAATCATAGTAAAAATTCCCTGTCTTAGGTCAGTTAGGATCACCACTTTATTTTAAGAATGTGAAATGTCAGAATAATAGTAGAGAGTGATTTATTTCAGCTTTTATTTATTTAATCACATTCCCAGTGGGTCAGAAGTTTACATACACTCAATTAGTATTTGGTAGCATTGCCTTTAAATTGTTTAACTTGAGCAATATGAGGTGGAATGGAGTTGCATGCAATAATGGCTCTATATAATACTGTACGCTCTCTTGAATTTGTTCTGGATTTGGGGACTGTGAAAAGACCCCTGGTGGCATGTCTGGTGGGGTAAGTGTTTGTGTCAGAGCTGTGTGTAAGTTGACGACGCAAACAATTTGGAATTTTTAACACATGAATGTTTCTTATAAAAAGAAGAAGTGATGCAGTCAGTCTCTCCTCAACTCTTAGCCAAGAGAGACTGGCATGCATAGTATTAATATTAGCCCTCTGATTACAATGAAGAGCAAGACGTGCCGCTCTGTTCTGGGCCAGCTGCAGCTTAACAAGGTCTTTCCTTGCAGCACTCGACCACACGACTGGACAATAATCAAGATAAGACAAAACATGAGCCTGCAGAACTTGCTTTGTGGAATGGGGTGTCAGAAAAGCAGAGCATCTCTTTATTACGGACAGACCTCTCCCCATCTTTACAACCACTGAATCTATATGTTTTGACCATGATAGTTTACAATCTAAGGTAACACTAAGTAATTTAGTCTCCTCAACTTGTTCAAACAGCCACACCATTCATTACCAGATTCAGCTGGGGTCTAAAGCTTAGGGAATGATTTGTACGAATACAATTGCTCTTAATTTTAGAGATGTTCAGGACCAGTTTATTCTGGCCACCCATTTCAAAACAGACTGCAACTCTTTGTTAAGGGTTTCAGTGACTTCATTAGCTGTGGTTTGCTGATGGGTATATGGTTGAATCATCAGCATACATGGACACACAGGCTTTGTGTAATGCCAGTGGCAGGTCATTGATGGATATGGTATTGTTACATATCATTGATGGATATGGTATTGTTACATATCATTGATGGATATGGTATTGTTACATATCATTGATGGATATGGTATTGTTACATATCATTGATGGATATGGTATTGTTACATATCATGATGGAATGGAGTAATATCATGGTGATTGGTATTTACATATCATTGATGGATATGGTATTGTTACATATCATTGATGGATATGGTATTGATACATATCATTGATGGATATGGTATTGTTACATATCATTGATGGATATGGTATTGTTACATATCATTGATGGATATGGTATTGTTACATATCATTGATGGATATGGTATTGTTACATATCATTGATGGATATGGTATTGTTACATATCATTGTTGGATATGGTACATATCATTGATGGAAACTGATTTGTTATTATCTATGCTATATGTTTTCACAAGCTAGCACAGGCTTTCAGGCAGTCAGTGATTCTGGCGCACAGTTACGATATTGTGGCTGTCTGATGTTGTTTGTCTCAAACATTTAATGCCCATAGCTGCCGAGTAACATCGACTGTACCAATCTATCCCTCCATTCCCAGCAACCATGGTGTGGCTGGTCAACATGGCAGACACTGGCCTCGGACACAGACCAATGACCAGGAAGAACTCAACAGAGGCCCCCATCACTCAGGCTGAGAGTCAATGTGAGTCTGGAGCTAGGTTTATTATTTAAATTCCTCTCTACCCTCCTCTTCAGCCCCCCCCCCCCTAGTCCTGGCCTCACTTGCACCCCAAAATATGACTATTTTCTTAAGTGTTTTAGTAATATCGTAATGATTTTCTACCCTCCCATCAGCAGCCCCTCCATCGCTGGCCACAGTTGCACCACAAAACATGACTCTTTTTATGGCATCTCCAGTATTTTTAAAAATATCTGAATTATTCTCTCCCCCCCCCCCTTCAGCCCTGGCTCTGGGCCCGGCCCCTCTCAGCCCCCCAGAGGATGACGGAGGGTTCACCCCTAACTGGATGGGGCATCAAGAGCATCAGCTGGGACCCCTCCAGTCCACAGACGAGACCCGACGGGAGATCCAACAGCTCCCCTCTGCCAGACCACCCGTAATGGACGATGAGGACGATGAGGAGCGTGAGTACAGAACTGAACAGTAACAATAAACACAACTGTATTTGTAAACAATCCCCATGTCGTTTTTCAAATCAGGGCGCGCGGCAGTCACCGACGCTCGTTTAATGTGAGCGGGCCAGAGACGCAATCTGAGGACTACCTATCCCGTCTTTGGGCAGTCCTAGATGTCCCGATATAAAAAAAAGATTGGCACAAAGTCTGCAATGCTGCTGGAGTGTGAGATGTGCAACGACACGTTGCCAGAGAAGAAGCCAGTGAGATGACGCTGTTTCGCGTCTCCCAGAATGTGTAGACGGGAGCAGGAGACTAGTCCCAGAATGTGTAGACTGGAGCAGGAGACTAGTCCCAGAATGTGTAGACTGGAGCAGGAGACTAGTCCCAGAATGTGTAGACTGGAGCAGGAGACTAGTCCCAGAATGTGGAGACGGGAGCAGGAGACTAGTCCCAGAATGTGTAGACTGGAGCAGGAGACTAGTCCCAGAATGTGTAGACTGGAGCAGGAGACTAGTCCCAGAATGTGTAGACTGGAGCAGGAGACTAGTCCCAGAATGTGTAGACTGGAGCAGGAGACTAGTCCCAGAATGTGTAGACTGGAGCAGGAGACTAGTATGTGTTTTGTATTTGCCTTTAACCGAACGGTCAAATCGTTACAGCTCTGAAGTTCACAAGCAATGTTATTCAATTAAAAATGTTGGCGAAAAATGTATACTCTATGGCAAAGCGTGAATGTCTGACTGAAAACTTTTGAGGCTGTTTTGAGCTACAGGCCGTTCTAGCAACGTTAAATCTAATCACATCAGAATCTCGTAGTCTGTGACCCCCCCGTCTGTGCCAGATCGTTTAGCCCACCACTACGTTGGCAAGACAAAAAAACTACATGAAAGACGGTTGATAAATGAGAGACTCGGTGATGTTAGGATTTTGAAAGCCGTGTAGTTTGGTGAAAAATGTTTAGTCTATGGCACACAGTAAAATGTTTACTTCCAATGCGGAGAAAAATATAGAACTAATTATAACACGAGGAATAAATACACAATACCAGTACCGAGTCGATGTGCATCGGTACCAGGTAATGGAGGTAGATATATATATATACAGTGACTAGGCAACAGGATAGATGGTGAACAGTATGTGATGAGTCGAGCAAAAAGGGTCAATGCAGATAGTCCGGGTAGCTTTGGTTAACAGTCTTATGGCTTGGGGGTAGAAGCTGTTCAGGGTCCTTTTGGTTCCAGACTTGGTGCATTGGTACCGCTTGCCGTGCGGCAGCAGAGGGAACACTATGACTAGGGTGACTGCAGTCTGACACCTGGATGGCAGGGAGCTCGGCCCCAGTGATGTACTGGGCCGTACGCACTACCCTCTGTAGCGCCTTGCGGTCGGATGCCGAGCAGTTGCCATACCAGGCGGTGATGCAGCCAGTCAAGGTGCTCTCGATGGTGCAGCTGTAGAACGTTTTGAGGACCTGAGGGCCCATGCCAAATGTGTTCAGCCTCCTGAGGGGGAAGAGGTGTTATTGTACTCTCTTCACGACTGTGTTGGTGTGTTTGGACCGTGATAATTCCTTAGTGATGTGGACACCTAGGAATTTGAAGCTCTCGACCACGATCAGCTCTTTGTCTTGCCGACGTTGAGGGAGAGGTTGTTGTCCTGGCAACACACTGCCAGCTCTCTGACCTCCTCCCTATAGGCTGTCTCATCGTCGTCGGTGATCAGGCCAACCACCGTCGTGTCGTCAGCAAAACGTAATGGTGGTGTTGGAGTCGTGCGTGGCCACTGTCGTGGGTGAACAGGGAGTACAGGAGGGGACTAAGCGCGTGTTGAAGATCAGTGTGGTGAATGTGTTGTTGCCTACCCTCACCACCTGGGGGCAGCCCGTTAAAGTCCAGGATCCATTTGCAGAGGGAGGTGTTCAGGGCCCTGAGCTTAGTGATGAGCTTGGAGGGCACTATGGTGTTGAACGCTGAGCTGTAGTCAATGAACAGCATTCTCACATACAGTGCCTTCAGAAAGTATTCACACCCATGGACTTTTTCAACATTCTGTTGTTAAAAAGTGGGATTAAAATGGATTGAATTGTAATTTGTTGTCAACGATCTACACAAAATACTCATATCAAAGTGGAAGAAAAATTCTAACATTTTGTAAAGATATTAATGAAAAATAAAACACTAATATATCTTGATTTACATAAGTATTCAAGCCTCTTAGTCAATACATGTTAGAATCACCTTGGGCGGCGATTACAGCTGTGAGTCTTTCTGGGTAAGTCTCTAAGAGCTTTCCACACCTGGATTGTGAAACATTAACCATTATTCTTTTAAAGATTCTTCAAGCTCTGTCAAGATGTTGGGGATCATTGCTAGACAGCAATTTTCAGGTCTTGCCATAGATTTCCAAGCAGATTTAAGTCAAAACTGGAACTCGGCCACTCAGGAACATTTTACTGTCTTCTTGGTAACCAACTCCAGTGTAGATTTGGCCTTGTGTTTTAGGTTATTGTCCTGCTGAAAGGTGAATTTATCTTCCAGTGTCTGGTGAAAAGCAGACTGAACCAGGTTTTCCTCTAGGATTTTCCCTGTGCTTAGCTCCATTCCGTTTATTTTTTATCCTGAAAAACTCCCCAGTCCTTAACAATTACAAGAATACCCATAACATGTTGCAGCCACCACTAGGCTTGAAAATATGGAGACATAACACTTTGTATTCAGGACAAAAAGTTAATTGCTTTGCCACATTTTTTGCAGTATTACTTTAGTGCCTAGTTGCAAACAGGATGCATGTTTTGGAATATTTTTATTCTGTACAGGCTTCCTTCTTTTCACTCTGTCATTTAGGTTAGTATTGTGGAGTAACTACAATGTTGTTGATCCATCCTCAGTTTTCTCCTATCACAGCAATTACACTCTGTAACTGTTTTAAAGTCACCATTGGCCTCATGGTAAAATCCCTGAGCGGTTTCCTTCCTCTCCTGCAACTGAGTTAGGAAAGGACGCCTCTATCTTTGTAGTGACTGGGTGTATTGATACACCATCCCAAGTGTAATTAATAACTTCCCCATGCTCAAAGGGATATTCAATGTCTGCCTTTTAAAAAAAAACCATTTACCAATAGGTGCCATTCTTTGCGAGGCATTGGAAAACCTCCCTGGTCTTTGTGGTTGAATCTGTGTTTGACATTAATTGCTGGACTTAGGGATCTTACAGATAATTGTATGTGTGGGGTACAGAGATTATTGCACACAGAGTGAGTCCATGCAACTTGCAAAATGTTACTCCTGAACTTATTTAGGCTTGCCATAACAAAGGGCTTGAACACTTATTGATTCAAGACATTTCAGCTTTTCATTTTGAATTCATTTGTTGGCTGCTTTTCCTTCACTCTGCGGTCCAACTCATCCCAAACCATCTCAATTAGGTTGAGGTCGGGTGTTTGTGGAGGCCAGGTCATCTGATGAAGCACTCCATCACTCTCCTTGGTCAAATAGCCCTTACACAGCCTGGAGGTGTGTTGGGTCATGATAGTTCCACTAAGCCCAAACCAGATGGGATGGCGTATCGCTGCAGAATGCTGTGGTAGCCATGCTGGTTAAGTGTGCCTTGAATTCTAAATAAATCACAGACAGTGTCACCAGGAAAGCACCCCCACACCATCACACCTCCTCCTCCATGCTTCACGGTGGGAAATACACATGTGGAGATCATCCGTTCACCTACTCTGCGTCTCACAAAGACACGGCAGTTGGAATGAAAATTCTCCAATTTGGACCAAAGGACAGATTTCCACCGGTGTAATGGCCATTGCTTGTGTTTCTTGGCCCAAGCAGGTCTCTTCTTCTTATTGGTGTCCTTTAGTAGTGGTTTCTTTGCAGCAATTCGACCATGAAGGCCTGATTCACGCAGTCTCCTCTGAACAGTTGATGTTGAGTTGTCTGTTTTATTTAATTTTTTATTTTACCTTTATTTAACTAGGCAAGTCAGTTAAGAACAAATTCTTATTTACAATGACGGCCTACACCGGCCAAACCCGGACGACGCTGGGCCAATTGTGTGCCGCCCTATGGGACTCCCAATCACGGCCGGTTGTGATACAGCCTGGAATCGAACCAGGGGGTCTGTAGTGACGCCTCAAGCACTGAGATGCAGTGCCTTAGACCGCTGACGCCACTCGGTAGCCTGTTACTAATTTATTTGGGCTGCAATTTCTGAGGCTGGTAACTCTAATGAACTTATCCTCTGCAGCAGAGGTAACTCTGGGTCATCCTTTCCTGTGGCGGTCCTCATAAGAGCCAGTTTCATCATAGCGCTTGATGGTTTTTGCGACTACACTTGAAGACACTTTCAAAGTTCTTGAAATGTTCCGTATTGACTGACCTTCATGTCTTAAAGTAATGATGGACTGTCATTTCTCTTTGCTTATTTGAGCTGTTCTTGCCATAATATGCACTTGGTCTTTTACCAAATCTTCTGTATACCACCCCTACCTTGTCACAACACAACTGATTGGCTCAAACACATTAAGGAGGAAATAAATTCCACAAATTAACTTTTAAGAAGGCACACCTGTTAATTGAAATGCATTCCAGGTGACTACCTCATGAAGCTGGTTGAGAGAATGCCAAGAGTGTGCAAAGCTGTCATCAAGGCAAAGGGTGGCTACTTTGAAGAATCTCAAATATAAAATATATTTTGATTTGATTGGTTACTACATGATTGCATATGTGTTATTTCATAGTTTTGATGTCTTCACTATTATTCTACAATGGAGAAAATAGGAAAAATATAGGAAAACCCTGGAATGAGTAGGTGTGTCCAAACTTTTGACTGGTACTGTATATATATATATATATATATATATATATATATATATATATATATATATATATATATATATATATATATATATATATATATATATATATATATATACCCATCTCAGTGAACTAATCCATTGTGGAGGCCTAGACTAAAAGCCAATTTATGCTTGATCTGAAAGTGTGGTCGGAGGCACCATATGGAGGGTGTGATGCTATTGCAGAGCCTCCAGAGGCCAAATCTACAACGTTTGTTACTTTGTTTATGGTAATTTCTGTTACTGCATTCATTATTATTATTCCAGTCTTGTTTATTTCATTCCATTTATGAGTTCTGTCAATTTAGTCGTTGTCTTTTGTTTGGAGCGCTCCTGTCAAAGTTGAGTAAGGACACGCACCTGATTTTTGTCTTATTTCATCAAGCTTAAAAGCATCAGACAAGCTCGATGCCTATAGTGGATTTTATTAAAACACATGGGGTGTGTCGTCTATATATGGAAAAATACACGTTGACCAATCAATTGGTGGAAAGAAGAGACGACTTTCGGTCTACGAAGATTTTTTGTTTTGTTGGGACAGCCCTAGTAACAGGGTTAGGGTTTGGAATTAGGGTTAGGGTAACGGGGTTATGGTTACAGAGTTAGGGTTTGTTATTAGGGTTACAGGGTTAGGAATTGGAATTAGGGTATGGGGTTAGGGTAACGGGGTTGGGGTTAGGGTAACTGGGTTACAGGGTTAGGGTTACAAATCAAATCAAGCTTTATTTATACAGCACATTTCAGACATGGAATGCAACACAATGTGCTTTACAGGAAAAAAAACAATGAAAATAAAATCTGAAATATTTACTACAAACATAAGTTAAAAACAAAAGAATGACAAACTGAACGACTAAAAAGCTCCTGAGGAAACGCAAAGCAAAAAGATGTTTTAAGATCTCTTTTTAAATCTGTCCAGTTCCCCCAGGTTTCCTATTCCGAGGCTTGGGGCATAGTAACTCAAGCCCCCCTTGTCCAGTTTCAGCCCCCCTCAGGTTCTCTGGCAGGCTATTCCAGAGGCTGGGGGCATAGTAACTAAAGGCTGGCCTCTCCAGGCCCTCTTGGTCCTGTTTCAGCCCCCTCAGGTTCTCAGGCTATGTCCAGAGGCTGGGGGCATAGTAAACTAAAGGCTGCCTCTCCATTGCCTCTTGGTCCAGTTTCAGCCCCCATCAGGTTCTCTGGCAGGCTATTCAGAGGCTGGGGGCATAGTAATCTAAAGGCTGCCTCTCCATGCCTCTTGGTCCAGTTTCAGCCCCCATCAGGTTCTCGGCAGGCTATTCCAGAGGCTGGGGGCATAGTAACTAAAGGCTGCCTCTCCATGCCTCTTGGTCCAGCTTTGGAGCTAGGTTAAAAGGCAGTCCAGAGGACCTGAGGGACATGGTAAACTAAAAGCTGTCTGCATGTCTGGGTCCAGTTAGACAGGTTCTTGGATGTTTCCAGAGAAGCTGGGGTCATAGATAAGCTTCCTCTCTCCTCTGGTGTTAGCCTCAGTCTGCGGCTATTGAGGCTGGGAACCATTAGGCAAAGGCTGCTCTCATGCCTCTTGGTCCAGTTTAGCCCCCCTCAGGTTCTTGGCAGGCTATCCAGAGGCTGGGCATAGTAACTAAAGGCTGCCTCTCCATGCCTCTTGGTCCAAGGCTTTGGGGTAGTTAAAAGGCCAGTGCCAGAGGACCTGAGGGACCTACTGGGTACATAACTTTAAAAGCATGTCTGACATGTACTGGGGTCCTGCGAATGTGTAGTAACGTGGTTCTGTGTGTGTTTCCCAGGGGGAGTGAAGCTGGGTCTAGGAGACTTCATCTTCTACAGCATGCTGGTGGGGAAGGCCTCAGCTGCGGCTAGTGGAGACTGGAACACCACTCTGGCCAGCTTCGTAGCCATACTCATCGTGAGTCATTATAATCCCTAGTTCTTCATGATGGGTCTGTTTAGCTCTCCATCGCTTCTGTGTTTTAATGCTTGTCAGACTGTTCTCTCTCTCTGTCAGTTCAAGGGGCTTTATTGCCATGGGAAACTTATCTTTACATTGCCAAAGGAAGTGAAATAGATGATAAACAAAAGTGAAATAAACAATACAAAAATTTAACAGTTAACATCACACTCTCAAAAAAATGTAAATGTCATATTATGTTATATACAGTGTTGTAACGATGTGCAAATAGTTAAAGTACAAAAAGGGAAAATAAATGGACATAAAAATGGGTTGTATTTCCATGATTATTTGTCTTCCTCCCCTCCAGGGCCTGTGTATAGATAATAAACAAAGCTCTCTCTCTCTCTCTCTCTCTCTCTCTCTCTCTCTCTCTCTCTCTCTCTCTCTCTCTCTCTCTCTCTCTCTCTCTCTCTCTCTCTCTCTCTGTCTCTCTCTCTCTCTCTCTGTGTCTCTCTCTCTGTCTCTCTCTGTCTCTGTATCTCTCTGTCTCTCTCTCTGTCTCTCTGTGTCTCTCTCTCTGTGTCTCTCCTCTCCTCTCTCCAGGGCCTGTGTTTGACTCTTCTTCTCCTGGCCATCTTTAAGAAGGCCCTCCCTGCTCTCCCCATCTCCATCTTCTTTGGCTTGGTGTTCTACTTCGCGACAGACAACCTGGTCAGACCCTTTATGGACCAGCTGGCTCTGCACCAGTTCTACATTTAGCAGGACGTCCCCCCTGCCCTCGCCACACCCCACGGGAGCTCTCATCGTCTTCGCCAGGGGTGTATTCATTAGTGCACAGCGTAGCGAAACGTTTTTGAAACTGAAATCTTTTTTTTTTTTTTTTTTTACCAAATCAGGTAGGTCCCTCACCCTGTTTTTGTTCGGTTTGGTTTCCTAGTGAATACACCCTGTGCCAGAGCTCAACCCCCTAACAAGGGACCAGGGGCAATGCGGGGGGCGTCTCCTGTCTCATGACTGGACTGGACTTTATTTTAGTTTTCATTCTGCCTGGGCTTGGAGGGGGGGGGGGTTCCCCCCAGTCCTAACCATGATGACTTTTGATTTGTTTATACTGGCCTCGTTTTAAAAAGTGATTGATTTGCCTTCTAAGGTTAGAGGTCACGGTGAGTTGAACTGCAGTGGGTACTACCACAGAGCTAGAATGAGTTGATGATTCTAATGTTGTTTTGGCGTCACACACCCCCCCCCTCCCCCCCCCCCCACACCACAAAAATAAAGAAGAAGAATCCTGTCTGGCTGGCCTCCTGAGAAAAGTACTTGAGAGGGGACTTTTAATAAAACCCAACTGGTGGTTTGGTCCTTTTAACACTCACGATGATTTAACTGATGATGATGAGTGGTAAATGTTTTTGAATAATTCTAGTTTGATTGTTCTTCTTGAATTGAACTGTCAATAGCCAGACCTTTTGCTTTGTCCATCCATCACAACTCCCAAGGTTGTATCCCAAATGGTACCCTATTCCCTCTATGGTGCCCAGGGCCTTGATCATAAGTAGTGCACTAAATAGGGAAAAGGGTGCCATTCGTCCTGCATTCCAGGATTAATTTCCATGTTTTGTTTATTGTTTTTCTCACTCAGTCAGACGTTCAGACCGTGAAACCAAAGGGCCTGTGAGTTTTACACAGTGTTTGCTGGCCCACAACGCTTATTTTTACTGAACAGGGTGGTTTGAAACTGTAGCGCTTGGATCAACGCCTATAGCAGCTTTGAGTTCTGTCACCACCACCACCCTGCATCATAAAACACCACGGTTTGGTTGACCCTGTCTAAATCTAAACGTGTTGTTGATTCTAGCCTGATTCCAGTGTTTGTCATGACAATGGCAGGGTTGGGGTCAATTCCATTTTAAATTCCAGTCGGTTCAGGAAGTACACTGAAATTCCAATTCCATATATCTCCAATGCTTTTCAATGAGGAAAATGTGGAATTGGAATTTGTTTTACTCTCTGTATTGACTGGATTTGGAATGGAATGGAATTGACCCCAACCGTGATGAGTGAGTGACAGGGAGTTGACATGTTAGCACAAACAGGTCTGGGACCAGGTGATGTTGATTGATCCACACTAGAATCATCAGTGTCTCTGCTGTTGTGGCCTGGTTCTGTCCGACAGTCTGTTTCTCCTCATGGAAACAAACAGAATCTTTTGGCATGACGTCATGACAATTAAATTGACAAGGAGTTGACATGATAGCACAAACAGATCTGGGACCAGGCTTCCTCTGTCCTATTCTGCTTTCATGACGAGCAAAAAAGTTGATAATGTCTGGCGTCGAACTGTTAGGCCCACCTAGTTCTTTAAGGGCTGGTTTTCATGGACACATATTAGGCTTAACCCTAGAACTAAAAATACCCATTGAAATCATATTTTAGTCCAGGGCTTTGCTTAATCAGTGTCTAGGAAACGGGCCCTAGCGTTGCACTCCAGTTAAACTCTTTGCTGCAGAGTGACCTGCACATGAGGTCATAATGACATGAAATGATGAGGTCATAATGACATGAAATGATGAGGTCATAATGACATGAAATGATGAGGTCATAATGACATGAAATGATGAGGTCATAATGACATGAAATGATGAGGTCATAATGACATGAAATGATGAGGTCATAATGACATGAAATTATGAGGTCATAATGACATGAAATGATGAGGGCATAATGACATGAAATGATGAGGTCATAATGACATGAAATGATGAGGTCATAATGACATGAAGTGACGAGGTCATTGTGGTGATTTCTTACTTTGTAAAGATTATGTTGGGTAACTGTCTTTTCTCTCCACGTGCATTATGCAAGGTTGTTCATTTCCTTTTTTTAAATAAATGAATCAAGAAATAAACAAAGGTAGCATATCAGTAATTTCTTGAAAATGTTTCAGTAGATTCATAAATAAATGTGGGAACCCTTTCCCTTAGTTACAACATTGTTGTCAATTTTTTTAGTGTTAAGTTTAGCATTTTGTTACAACAGAAACAGCAGCCTGTCAACAAAAGTCAGCTGGAAGATTCAACACTTAACAAATCATGTGGAATATGTTTTAACCTATTTTAATATCTGATGATGTTGATTGCTTGGTGCTTGTTCTGGTGATATGTCAAGGCTTGTTCTGGTGAGGTTAGCAGGTCCTATATACTGTAGACTGGAGTGTAAAAGCTGTGCCACTGGGCAAAAAAAAAACCGGTCTAGTTTTGATTTGAGTTGTCAACTAACGTGAATTAAAAGTGAAATCATCCGATAGGAAGGTGGATCATTTAAAAAAATATATGCTATTGGACGATAAACAGATTTGGTTAATTAATCTATATGGTCCAAATAATGACGATCCACACTTCTTTTAAAATATATATACAAATCTATCGAACTCACAAGTAACAAATGACTTACTATGGTGGGAGATTATAATAGTCTTAAGTACTCTAATGGATCGTAAAGGAAATCACATTACAAACTATCACCCTCGTGCAAATATCATGGACACATTAGAACTAGTGGATATATGACGACCTAGTGAGATATACTTAATAAAGCTAGTAGACTCGACTACTTCCTTGTGTCCTTCGCGCACCAAAAGTTACAAAGTATTGATAGGCGGCAGAATGCGGTCGGACCATCAAATAGTTGGCATCCACATTACTCTTACAGAATTTCCACGTGGATATTGGAAATTGAATCAAAGCCTGTTGGATGACAACTTGTTTCTAACCAAGACACAGGATTTTATAACTTACTTTTCTTGCATAAAATGGATACAGCAGATCCCCTTATTGTATGGGACACTTTTAAATGTGCCCTTAGAGGCCATGCAATTCAGTACTCATCTCTATAACAAAAGCAATTTCAGTCAAAATAGTTCATATTAACAAAGGAAATAGCGGAAATAACAGTACAGATGGATAGCAATTAAAACGGTACCATTGAGGCACAGAATAAATTGGAGGAAAAACAAGAAATGGAGGAACTTATTTGGGAACGATCAAGTACAATATATATATAATAAAGGGAATTGGATGGAAAATTGTGAATTGTGAAAAATGCACCAAATTATTTTTGAATCTTCAACATAGAAAATCTACCAAGAAGAATTTACAGAAACTTGTTACAAATAACAGAGGTTTCCATGATTCACCAAATAATATTTTGAAAGAGGAAGCAAAGTACTTTAAGCATATGTTCTCTTTTCAGACTCCTCCATCTCCACTAACTGAAGTTAACTGTAAGGATTGTTTTTCTAATAACTAAAATTAACAGCTGTACAGAAAGACTTGTGTGAGGGCCAAATTGCAGAGGAACTTCTTGATGTAATTAAAGCCTTTAGGCCAGGGAAAACTCCAGGGCTGGTAGGTGTAACAGGTTGAGGTATATGAAACCTTTTTTGATCTTCTCAAAGATCCACTATTTAGCATATTTTAACCACTTCTTTTAAAAACGTTTAACTTTTAGGTACTCAGCAAGAAGGTCTGATTTCACTATTACTGAAACAGGACCCAGGTGGTAAGTATAAAGGTCCAGTCTATCTAAAAACCTGGAGGCCCCTTAAACTTTAGTGTCGTGATGCAAAAAAAAGGACCAAAATGCATAGAATTAAAAAGGTATTGTCGGATATTATTCATCCTAATCAGACAGGTTTTTTACATGGACGATACTTTGGAGATAATATAAGGCAAGTACTGGAAACAATAGAACACTATGAAAAAATCTGGGAAACCAGGCCTGATATTCATTGCTGACTTTGAAAAGGCCTTTGATAAAGTACGACTAGAATTTATATATAAATTCCTGGACTATTTTCATTTTGGAGAATCTCTTATACAATGGGCTAAAATTATGTATAATAACCCTACTTGTAAAATAGTAAATAATGGCTAATTCTCAGAAAGTAATAAAATATCAAGAGGAGTAAAACAAAGTTGTCCACTATCGGCATACTGTGAATTCGGAAAGTATTCAGACCCCTTGACTTTCAAATGTTGTTACGTTACAGCCTTATTCTGAAATTGATTAAATAGTTTTTTTCCCCTCATCAATCTACACACAATACCCCATAATGACAAAGCAAAAACAGGTTTTTATCAATACTTAAAAAAAAAAAAAAGAATGGAAATAAAATGTACATAAGTATTCAGACCCTTTCCTCAGTACTTTGTTGAAGCACCTTTGGCAGCGATTACAGCCTCGAGTCTTCTTGGGTATGACGCTACAAGCTTGGCACACCTGTATTTGGGGAGTTTCTCCCATTCTTCTCTGCAGATACTCTCAAGCTCTGTCAGGTTGGATGGGGAGCGTCGCTGCACAGCTATTTTCAGGTCTCTCCAGAGATGTTCGATCGGCTTCAATTCCGGGCTCTGGCTGGGCCACTCAAGGACTTTGAGACTTGTCCCGAAGCCACTCCTGCATTGTCTTGGCTGTGTGTTTAGGATTGTTGTCCTGTTGGAAGGTGAACCTTCACCCCAGTCTGAGGTCCTGTGCACTCTGGAGCAGGTTTTCATCAAGGATCTCTCTGTACTTCTTCCATCTCCAGAGAGGAACTCTGGAGCTCTGTCAGTGACCATTGGGTTCTTGGTCACCTCCCTCACCAAGGTCCTTCTCCCCCCATTGCTCAGTTTGGTCGGGCGGCCAGCTCTAGGAAGAGTCTTGGTGGTTCCAAACTTCTTGGGGACCTTTAACGCTGCAGGAATTTTTTGGTACCTTTCCCCAGATCTGTGCCTCGACACAATCCTATCTCGGAGCTCTACGGACAATTCCTTCAACCTCATGCTCTGACATACACTGTCAACTGTGGGACCTTATATAGACAGGTGTGTGCCTTTCCAAATCATGTCCAATCAATTTAATTTACAACAGTTGAACTCCCAAGTTGTAGAAATATCTCAAGGATGATCAATGGAAACAGGATGCACCTGAGCTCCATTTCGAGTCTCATAGCAACGGGTCTGAATACTTACATAAATAAGGTATTTCTGTGTTTTATTTTTAATAAATTAGCAAAAATGTCTAAAAACCTGTTTTCACTTTGTCATTATGAAGTATTGTGTGTAGATTGAG